TATAATTTCATAAAAACAATAACTTCATTAAAAGAAGAAATATGAATAATTAGAGTTTAAAAAACAAATCTAATATGTATGTTAATATCTAGTATTTATTCAATATTTATAAAGACATTGTACAAAAAAATACAATTTTATTTAATATTTAGAAGGATATTGTACAAAAAAATATAATTATATTCAATATTAAAGTTCAAAAAATAAATTCAAAATAGATTTAAACAAATACAAAAAGAAATTGAATTGAGATTAATTTTTATTAATTAGGAATAAATTATTAATTAAAAACAAATTAATAACTAAAAACAAATCTCGATGTTCTGGATGTTCTTGTCATCGTGCTTTTAATGGTGACGAGAGTCCCTCAACTATTGGTTTTTGACTTTTAGCAAGCATTCTTACTTTTTATTTTTAAGTTTTTTAAAAAAGATCCTTTTGGCAATGCCATAGAAATTATGATGTTCTTGTAGTCATTGTGCTTCTCATTCTTAGTCCCCTTCTTGACGAATTCCAGCTCGAGTGTAAGCAATACAAGGTTAAAGTTATCTGGAGGAATAAATCTATATACCAAAGAAAACTCAGAAATTATTAATAAAGTGGAAACACAAAAAAGAATTAAAAAAAAAGAAATGAAAAAGAAAAGGTGTGAGGTTATTGACCTGCTCACAGATATGGTGTCACCAGTAGAAACTTTTGCATGCCGTCGTTGGATGGCATTCAGGGCAATGTAGCCGCTACGTATACTTTCATGAGGAGTAAAGCTAAGTTAAGGCCTCAAAACAACCAGTAATATGGAGTAATTTTTTAAAAGTTTGATCTTTATAAAAGCAACAAGTTTATCAAAATAATGATTAGGGCTAGCTAAAAAAATAGTCGAAGTTTAGCCCCAAATAAAAAAGAGGAACTGAAAAATAACACAACATAATTATCTACTTTCCTATTATTGCTCATGAACTATACTTTAGAGATTAGTTTCTACTTCATAGCTCAAGCAGTTCCTCTCATAAATAAGATAGTTTATGGTCTCAACACTCAAATATCTAAAATGCATGTAGTAAAATCAAAGCAGATGAAGTAAAGCAATATCAAATTATCAAATCATCAACATATGAAGAAACTGCCATGAAACTAAGGAAAGTAGCTAGTGATGGAGGAATTCACTTCCTTCATATGAAATCGAAGAGAAAGAACAAAGAAAAAGGATATGAAACAGAAAGGACGCAGACGTTGGCAACGTTGGCGAGGAAGAGCTGAGATCCTGGGACACCGAAGCCATGGTGATCGGCCGGCGAGCAGTAGGCGAGATTGGTCAAGACGAGAACTGAAGCCGGCGTGTTGGTGACGATCATGCTCTCCATTGATTTTCTTCTGCTTCGTACAGATCTGAAGCCGATGTCTTCGGTTAGTGAAAGGAACGGGAAAAAAGTTATCTTTTCCGGCGCGGAGAAATATATAGTGGAGCCCAGGATGCCAAGAGAGCAGGAGATTGGACGACGTGCGTGTCCGAGGAATTACTAAGTCACTAGTCTTTTAAGAAGATAAGGAAAATGCCTCCTATCTTTTTTTCATTTCACAACAACACCCTCAATCTTTTTTTGTTTATATATAT